GGAGACACTGGGTTTGTGTGGCCCAACACACACTGAACTGCTCACCAGGTCTCAAACCAGCTCTTTTGCTCACCCAAAGCAGACACAGTACCTTGAGCACATCTTCCACACAGCTGCCCAGCTCTGCCTCTGGCACCAGCACGGCCCCTGCTGTCAAATCCTGCAGTGCCAGCTCTGAAAGCAAAGGACAGAGACATGAGCCCCCCAAAACAGCCCGGAGCCCCCAGCAGCAGAACTGCATTCCCTCCACCCAAAAGGACTTCCACAGCTCCCTTCCCTCCCACGGGAACAGACCAGCCCTCATTAGCCGTACTAATTGTGCTGTAGTGCTGTAAACCCCCAAGGAGACATGGAAATCAACACAGACCACAACTCCATGATGGGTGATTCCCCAGAGAGCTGCTGGCCAGTGTGGGGAACCAACAGCTTCCGTCTGGAAGCCCAGAACAAGGATGTCAGACTGGGAGAGGTTCCCAAGGAGCACGGGGCAGAGCCAAAGCGCTCAGCTCCCACGCTGCAGCGACTGCACTCAAGGGTAAATACAGTGCACCCAGACAAACTGACAGGGGCAGCACACAGAGCTGGGCTGCCACACTCCCCAGCCTGGCTGCTGGCCTGAGAAAACTCAGATGGAACGACAAAGACCAGTGAGGAGCAAATCCAGAGCCCTCCCCAGTCCAGGCAGGTACCTGTGGCCTGGCAGCAGCGGCGGAGCGGTGCCAGCAGGGGCTGCAGCAGGTGCCTCTCTGCCAGCTCTGGCTGCTCCCTGGCCATGCTGAGCAGCGTGGTGGTGGCCACACGCTGGAACTGCCGCGCTGCCACTTTGTCCTGCATGTGCAGTAAGTCCAGAATCTGCAAGGAAAAAGAAACAAGGATCAGGTAACCCCTCAGAGGGGACAGCCTGGCACCTCACAGAACCAAGGAGCCACCCATGTGCAGCTTTGCTGGGCAGCTGGCATGACAATGTGTGTGTGGAAGAGCCAGTGTCCTTCCCACACATGCAGGACACCTCTCTGGGCTCAAAGCAGGAGCCTGCACCACTCCCAGAGCCAAAGGCTGGAAGCAAGAGCTACACACAGAGCTCTGTGTAGCACAGTGCCAAGTACCTCATGTGATCAGACATCATCCAGCATTTCAATAAAACATGGAAAATTCAAGAGTAGAAACGTCCTACTGCCAGAAAAACATCTCCTGGCTTGAGCCAGGCCACCCTCAAGCAAAGGAAGAGCCCCAGCACTCTCCAAGCCAAGAGCTGGCTCTGCATTCCCCGGCAGAGGGGACAAGTGACTTACCTGGGGGCACACCTGTCTGTAGTAGTCCTCGAGGGACAGGCACTGCTGGGGGCAGGCAGCCAGGATCTTCCCAACTGCATCACATTTCCTCCAGTCCAGAGCTGCTGCTTCAGCACCAGCACCACCTACAACAGCAGCAGAAATCCCGGGTCAGCTCTGACCCACGGCCAGATCTGGCTAAAGCCAGGTGTTCCTAGCCAAAAACTGGATTTTGAGCTTGTATTGCTCTTTCAGGAGACACCTGAACCTAAGGATAGAGAGGGGGAAATTGCTGTGCAAGAGCTCTGATAATGGAAAGCAACTCCTACAGCCAGGTGGGTGAGCCAAAAGGTGGAGAGAGGTTGTGCTTGGATGGCTGGAGTTGGCCAGACGAGATGTTGGCACTAAAAACTGTGGGATTCAGCTTGTGGAGAGCAACAGCTTCCTTCCCTGGCAGGACATGGAGAGCAGGGGATGGGATGGGTCTCTCTGTCCCTACAGCTCTCACAGCCCAGTGCCCAGCACGGCTCCCACCACACTGGCACTGGGACAGGGCATTTCCCAGGAGTGATCCCACCATGGACACACACAATGTGTGACCCCCATCTAGGCACAAACAGGCTTGGAGCCTTTCAGTGTGGCCATCTAACATACGTGTATCCCAAATTAGAGCAGTTTGGGGGTTCAGCACAGTCAGAGACAATCTGTGCATCACCATGTCACCTCAGCCTGGCACAAGCCAGCCCCTACATCCAGCTCTTGTGGCTCTGCTCTTCTGGGCCTCTCACAGGATGAACTGTCTCAAGACAGCTCTGAATCTGTGATGCTGGGGCCCAGAGCCCCTCACTCACCGTCTGTGCCCTCCAAGACACCCCGAACCACGGCCTGCACCCCGCCTGGCCTCAGCAGCCTCTCGGAGAGCAGGTGCCCGCAGAGCCGCCGCAGCCAGGCCGGGGCTGCCCCGGCACCCGGACACCTCTGCAAGGGAGAAAGGAGCAGCTCAGGAGCCTGTCTGCACACACCTGTGCCAAGCCCCGGAGAAACAGCCCATGCTCTGACAGAGAGCACAGGATAGCACAGGATACAGGCTTTGAGTTGCTGCTTCCTCCAGTGGCACAAAGCAAATCAGGAATTAATGAGAGGTCAGCCCTCAGCTGCTCAGCATGCTGTTGCACCTCTGGAAGTGTCCAAGGCCAGGCTGGACGGGGCTTGGAGCAACCTGGGACAGTGGAAAGTGTCCCCACCCACGACAGGGAGTGGAATGAGATGAACTTTGAGTTCCCTTCCAGGCCAAGCCATTCTAGGCTTCTATGATTCTATCAAGGGCATTATCCCATGGGGACTTTCCTAAAACAACACTTAAGCGATTCCCCATCTCCTCCTCCCCAGGATGCTTTGGAACAGCCCCAAAGAGCAGCAGGTGCTCTGTGTCATGCCCGGAGTGGGAAGGGTGAGGTTTGGAGGAGCAGAAGCTGTGCTTGGCCGGGCACGGCAGATGTGGGTGCCAAGCCAAGGTGGCACGTGCGGCGATGACAGTCCCTGACACACCCACGCTCCCGCACAGCAGGGCTGGAACGACACACGCCCAGCAGCCTCGCCAACGCTCAGGGACTGGTTTTTAAGCTGTAAGAACATTTCCTGAAGAGCAGCATCCCCGGCGTGTGGGAACCACGGGGGTACGGCCGCTGACAGCCCCGTGCCGGGGATGGCCCCGGGTACCTGCTTGGGCTGTCCCTGCAGGACGAGCAGCTCCTGCACCGCCAGCGGCTGGTAAACACGGTCCAGGATGTCCCTCAGGGCTTCCCGGCACTGCGCTCGCTCCGCTTCCGAAACACCCTGCAACAAAACACACCAGGGCTCTGACAACAGCTTGGCTGGGCACCGAAGCCCCGGTCCCGCCGGTGTGCCGGTGCCCCGCAGCCCCGGGTTAGGCTCCGTGCCTCCCGTTCTTTCTCCCACACGGGGCAGGACACGGCAGGGACCGCCTGAGGAGCGGGCTGCGGCTGGGCTGGACACGCACACACCACCGGGGAGCGGGGACACGGCGTGCGAGCGCGGCACGGACCTGGCAGAGCGCGGCGGGGCCGTGCCCCAGCCCGCAGAGCCCGCAGAGCAGCAGACGGAGGTGCCGGGCGAGCAGCGGGGCGCCCAGGGCCGGCAGCCGGGCCAGCTCGACCAGCGCGGCCACGGCGGCGAACAGCCGGGCCCCGCGGGTGCCGGG